ACTGGTGCAGCCACTGTGGAAGTCAGTGTGAAGGTCTCACAATAAATTAAAAACAGAACTTCCATATAATTAGCTATATTACTCTTGGGCATCTACCTGAAGATCCATCTTACAATATACATGCTTTCTCATCCATTATTCCTGCTCTAGTCACAATAGCAAGGAACTGGATTCAGTCTAGGTGTCCATCATTAGATGAACAGACAATGAAAATGTGGTACATATACACAATAGGTTTTTCCTACCAGAAAGAAAAAAAGAATTATGCACTTTGCAAGAAATTTGACAGAACTGGAAAATATTATTAAGTAAGGTAGCCCAGGCTCAGAAAGACAAAAAAAAAGAAAGAGAAAAAAGAAAAAAAGAAAAAAGAAAAAAAGAAAAAAGAAAAAAAGAGAAAAGAAAAAAATGTGTTCTAATATGTGGAGTTTAGCTTTTAATTTTTTATATAAATGTTTTTATGTGGGGGTGGAAGAGGGTGATGCCAGAAACAAGGGGCCTGTGACAGTGAAAAAAATTACTTTCAGCAGAAAATTACCCTATAATTAAATATACATAAATGTTAGCTAGGCTATATTTAAAACCTAAAATGTCATGATTGATTCAATTAGCATCTGATCATTTATGAGAGATTTTAAATTCCTAATTATATTGTTAGGAATTGCTGTTCAAATTCACTTCTAATCTGTAATGATATTGAAAATGTGATATTCTGTTTCTGCACATTTCTACACATTTAACTATTTCATTGAGTTTCATTTTATTTTTACCTTGATACACTTCATTTTTCATTAGCTCTTATGGTGTAAATTTAAATTTTCTAATAAAAGAATTTGGAAAAATTCAAATGAATGGAAGACTGAATGAATTTTATTTCATAGTAAATATAAACTAAAAGAAAAAAAAATAGACTGAAAAAGTCACTCTTCATAGGCTGATTTCTTATCAACACTGGCTACCTATTTGGTAATTACATATTATAACAAAGCACCAGGAAAACATTTTATATGGAAGAAATGTTGCTAAAACTCCAAAATATACAAAGAACTACAAAAAAACTAAACAAGAAACCAAGCCCCCTTCTACTCATCAATAAATGGGATAGCCAAATGAAACATTTATCAAAAGGTAAAACACAAATGGCAAAAAAAATATGAAGAAATGTTTGGGGCTGGAGAGTTGACTCAGCAGTTAAGAGCACTGACTGTTCTTGCCAAAGACCCAGGGTCAAATCCCAGCATCCACATGGCAGCTAACAACCATCCGTAACTCCAGTTCCAGGGGATCTGACACACTTTTCTGTCCTCTGCAGGTACTGCACAACACAGGTGGACTTACATACATGCAAGTATAACACTCATACACATAAAGTAAAAATAAATAAATTAAAAGAAATGTTTGACCTCATTAACCATCAGAGAAATGCAAATTACAACAATACTGAGAATCTACCTCATCCCAGTCAGAATATCAGTCATTAAGAAAAAAGGGCAAGGGGCTGGAGAGATGTTTCAAGTGGTTAAAGGTACCAGCTGCTCTTGCAGAGGACCCTGGTTCAGCTCCCACATGACAATTCACAACCATCAATAACTTCAGTTCCATGAACTCTGATGCCCTTTTCTGGCCTCCACAGGCACTCCATTCACATGGTAAACTTAAATGCAGGCAAGGTACTCATATACATAAAATAAAAATAAATTATTTTTTAAAAGAAAAAAACAACAAATACTAGTAAAGATGTGGACAAAAGGAAATATATATACTGCTGATGGGAATGTAAACTAGTCCCTGTCACAAAAATCAGTATGACAGTTTCAAAGAAAACAATAAATAAATAAATAAATAAATAAATAAATAAACCTAAACTAAAAGTAGATTTAACATATGACCCACCTATACCACTCCTGGCCATTTACCCCCAAGGAAGCTAAGTTGATTACCACAGAGATACTTGCACATCAATGTTTACTGCAGCACTATTCATAATATCAAGTTATAGAACCAACACAGGTATCAACAACAGGGGAGTGGACAAAGAGAATTTGGTATACAAAAACAGAAGAATATTTTTAGCCATAAAGAACGAGTTAGATCATCTACAAAAAAACAAATGCAATTAGAGATGATCATTTAAGTGAAATAAGCCAGTCTCAGAAAAAAAAAAATGTTTTCTCTCATTTGTGATTCCTATTTTATAATGGCACATAAAATCATGTATGTATATGTGACACAAAGGTAGAAGTCAAACGGTCTAGGGGAACCAAGGGGACTAACAGAAAGAGGAGAAGGAAGGAGGAAAGGGTAAAGGGAGATATGCTTAATGTACAGTGTCATGTATATGAAAATATCTTTATGTAACGCAGTATCATGCACAATGAACACATAAAATGAAAGAAAATTTTTTTGGTCTTTTTGAGGCAGGGTCTCCCTATAGCCCCAGCTGTCCTAGAACTCACTATGTAGACCAGGCTGGCCTTGAACTCATAGAGATCCGCCTGCCTCTGCCTCCCGAGCGCCGGAATTAAAGGCGTGTACCACCAGGCCCAGCAAAATGAAATTTTAAAAATAACAAATTAAAAAGAAAGAAAAAATTCATGCAGCCAGATTTCTCCTTATCAAAGGGTCTTCTGGGTCCTGGGAAGATGGGTCAGTTGGTAAAGTGCTTGCCATGAAACCATGAGGACCAGAGTTCAGAGCTATCATGGAAGACTCCCAAAGCTGACCTCTGGCTTCCACATATATGCACTTAAGTACGTACATACGTACATACGTATACACACACACACACACACACACACACACACACACATCTTCTGAATGGATAGATCTTGTCCACCATATGAATTTTGACAGAAGCATTATAATTTGTTTTGCTACTGGTTATATCAGCTTTGCCTGAAAGAACTGATCTGAAAACTCTCCAATATGAAAGATAATTTTCATTCTGACACAAAAATGGAATAAAGTTAGTTTATTTTCAGTTAATTTTTATGGTATGTGGGAAAGCACAACAGAAAACAGTTTATAGCTAAAGCTAATAAATAACATCACTGAGAGTAACTGGAAAATATTATTAATGAGTTAATACTATTTTTAATTCCAATTTTAGTTAGAAAATAGAAGGAATACATTTGAAATAACTTATTTTACTGTAAAACTCATCCACAACAGACTCAAGATTTTTTGACCATCAGCTATAAAATGGCTGTATATGTTGGTGGTTTTCTACCAGAAATCTGGAAATATTAACTAATGCTTTTCTCTGAATAACCTTATATTACAGAGGGTGCAGAGAAAAGATGTCGAACCGTAATATATATAAAGAATTTATATGTGTATAAAGAACATAAAGGTTTTTTTTAAATGTCTATACAGATTTGAGAATGTATATTATTTTAGTTTCCTTTAAAGACATTTCTTTAGATCTAGTATATGTTCAAGAGTTTTGTACTTTTGTTTATTTTAATAAAAACATCTATGAATGTCTGTGGATTATTTAACTTACAGCATAAAATATTCTATTTTGTATATATACCATTATCATTATCCATTCATCTCATGATAGGCATCTAGGCTGGTTCCATTTCCCTCCTGTAGTAAATAGAGCAGCAGTAAACATGGATGTGCAAATCTCTCTATGGTAGGATATGGAATTCTCTGGGTATGTGCCCAGGAGTAGAATAGCTGAGTTATGTGGTTGTTCTATTTTTAATTTTTTGAGGAACCTCCAAACTGATTTGCATAATGGTTGCACTAATTTGCACTCCTACCAGTAGTGAATAAGGGTTCCTCTTTCCCCAAATTCTCTCCAACATTTGTTGTCAGATTTCTTGATGATAGTCATTCTGACCAGGTTGAGGTAATATCTCAGAGCAGTTTTAATTTGCATTTTTCTAATCACTAGGGATGTTTAAAACTTTTTAAAATAGTTACTCAACTATAAAGAAAAAAGAAATCACAAAATTTTCAGGAAAAGTGATGAATTTAGAAAGTATATTACCCAAACTCAGGAATAAAAAAAAAAAAACGTTTTTTTCATATGCAGATCTTAGCTTATGATGTATATGTGTATAGATATAAACAACTGTAAGTGTGGGAGACAGTATAACATTCAGAAAGGAAAACAAGAAAGAGTAGTATTAGGTAATGGGGAAGAATACAGGCAAAAAGACTCTTGAGTAGTGAAAGATGATATAAAACTGTTTGACTAGTTTCAACTCTGTCATTGTTTTTCTTTTTATAAGGTACCTGATAGTAAAAGTATAAAACCCTAATCAAAATTCCATGGTTGTTCTATGTAGAGACATATGTACTTTGGGATTAGGTAAATGTTTGCTTGAGTAGCTACCTTAATTGAGCTGTAGCATGTTTTTACTTATGAGCTCATTACAATAAAGTAATTTTTATAATAAAAAAAATTGAACCTATCTTGCAACTGAATAAATTTTATAATGTTATTTTTGGTGGGGGGCTGTTGAAACAGCTCCAGCTGGCCTGGAATTTGCTATGTAAACCAGGCTGGCCACCCCATCCCACAGAAATCCACCTGCCTCGGCTTCTTGAGTGCTGGGATCTCTGTGAGTTCAAGGCCAGAAACTATACTATAGTTAAATTCCTTTAGAATTTTCACCATCAGCTAAGTCTCAAAAAGTAAACCAAAAGATCTGACAGAACCATTCTCAGTAGCTACATGGGCACAGGAGGTAGCAGGCAGACAGACCTGCTACCCTTAGTATAATTACAGACGGCCTCAGAGGACACTTTATAACTTCTCCAGATGGGGGGACCAACATGCTAGCAGTTCTGCAAGCAGTACACAGTAAATACACTTATTACAGGGTTCATGAAAGTTGTCACAGAACTTAGCACAGCTTTTATCAAAAGTTCAGTGATAACAACATCATGTTTAAAATTATATCAACTTATCTCTTAATCAGTTGAACTATTAAAATTATATGCTAAGTATTTAATAATATAATTATAGGAGTCTTTTCTTTTACCAGAGGAGCCCAGTAGGTGTAGAGGTAGCCTATTTTCAATGCTGGTACAAATTGTAAGCAGGATACTACCAGAAAATAGAGATTCAAGAAAAACTTGAATTGTTCATACAAAACCTAAAAAGAAAAGAAGAAATTAGCACAACAATCTCTTCAAGAAAGTTTTGTTAATTCCTCAATTAACTAAACTCAGCATAATATGTAACCATATTTCCTTCAAAGAGTAAGAATATACTGATTTACAGTAAATTAATCAATTTTTTTACATGGCTTTCCAAAGTTATCCTAAGGTTATGCCCAAATTATATTTAAGATGCAATGAACAAAAAGACAATTAGGATGTCCAACTATATTAAAATATACTTCCCTAAGAGTTTTCATTTCTTCATGCATGAAATTTTTATCTTTCCATGCTCACCTAAAGTATTCACATGCATATAAAAGCACAAGAAGGAGCCTTCTCCTTTCAGCACGCCAATGAGCATGAACTTGGGAACTTGGGACAGAAAACGCCTATCAACTTCAGATTTATGAAATGGTAAAATAGATATCATATGTAATACAATTCAGTATGCTTTTTAACATGGACATTGACCTTTACAAATATTGAGTGAAAGAGCCAATGGGCATAAGCATGACTGTGTGTTAGGTGCCTGATGTGGCTCCCTCAAAATAAAAAAAAAGGTTCAAATGAAAATATGTAAATAAAAGCCAGTTTTCAGAAAGACAGCAATCTAAATAATACATAATAAATTTTATCGTTTAATATAATTTTAGGTTTGCCAATATTGAAAGTTTTTGCATTTGTGTTTTAATTAAAATAGAGTCATCTGGGGCTGAAGATACAGCTCAGTAGTAGAGGAGTTGACCCATATGCACGAAACCCTAGGCTCAATTCTCAGTATCACAAAAAAAAAAGAAATTAGAGTTACCTTTAAGAAATAATAATTGAAGTAACACAATCTATTTTAAAGCAGACTAGAACCTTGTATATCAAAATCTCAGCAGTCATTCCTTATGCAGAGCAATTTCAACAAGAGCAGAATGACAGGTTAAATGTAGTCTGCTACCTTAAAGAGCCTAGAACCAGTTTATCTATATTAAAGTTATCTGCATCATCATACAATTCTGTGTGTGTCTAAAGCCAGTTACACTAGCAATACATTTATATCCATAATCATGTTCAACTGCTATCTAAAAATGTTTTGAATTATTTCATTGAAAGAAAGCTCTTTTTCCTCAGCGATTTCTTTAAAATCTCAGCACAAATTATATCAATTAGCAATTCAGAAATCGCCATTTTTGCTAAAAATGGCATAGAATTCCTACTGTGTAATTACTAAATGTTTCTAAAATACTACATTTTAGATGAAAAGACTAATTTCAGGGACATGCTAAAAAGAAAAGGCATGTACATAAAAACCAACCACCGTACAGATCCACCAACAGGTATTCTCAGGATGCAGCCAATCTGGGACAGCTGTGTGAGTTCACGCTGGTCAATGTTAAGCTGCACTACTGGCTTTAACAATGACCAATACTTCATAGCGTACTGAATGAACTTGGTGACCTTCAGGAAAATGTACTTTCAGTTATTTGATCTGTATTTAATAATTTACACCTAAAGAGAAAACAGTGGCTTTGTTCAATAAGATGAGAATACTGACTAAAAGACAATTTATATTTTATTATACTGATAAACAGCCAATCTTTTGATTATGGGGCCATTAATTTTGTGTTTTAATAAAGAAGCACATTAGATATTATTTAAATCCAAATATATTAGAGCAATTTTCATTCCATATAATCATGAGCTTTTCTTATAGAAGAGACGAAGAATCAATAGTTAAACTTTGCCAAATATTTTGACATAGAAATATAAGATACATGATTGGATTTTTCCCCACAGATCAACCATGTTGATCTAACTTCTAAGAAACAATGATTAGAAGGAAAATAAATTCCCATAAATTACAAAAAGAAATATAATCAGTACCAACTACCTTTGCATTCCAAGATACATAAACAACTCTAAATTCATATAAGCACAGTTTCACAAATTTAATCTAGAAATACTAACAAGAAAAAAGAAATAAAATATTTAAACTTCAATATTTAAAGTGAACATAATACCCAATCAAAGATAACTGATGATTTAATGATGTAACAAAGCCCGAGATTGAGAGCATAAAGTACAAATGACATCTATAAATAAGAAATATTTTGCTACTGGAAATAAATTGTGTTATTTTCTTTGTGAAATTCCTTGGCAGGCTTTAAACATTACATTCTACTTTTCCCTCCAAACAAATTTTCAGTGCCCTAAAAACTATGACTTATTTCTTGATCATTTCATTTACCTTCTAGTATTTTTACACTTTTACATTGCTACACTAATATAAATGTTTATCCAGAACTGAAAGCAATAATCAAACTGTGTACTTTCTTAGGTTGAAAGAGCCAAGAAAATGCAAAGGAAGTCTTGAGCAATCATTTGAAACACAAAAGTATGAAACTGGAACATACTGGCTTAGACATTGACATCACCAAGCCACACGTCTCCACAGGTATCTCCAAGAGACAAAGAAAGCTGGCAAGCTCTGACATAAAATAGGTGCTGAAGAATGCAATCTTACCCCAGGTATAAAGGTGAATACATTGTATTTTTGATTTTTTATAGAATTCCTGGGATGTTTTTCTTCACATTTCTCTGGACAGCCAAGCCATACTGTACGTGCTTTCAGTTCTTTCTTTCTCTGGCAAACATTTATCAGCCAATCACAGCAACTGCACGAAACAAAAGATATACAATGTATATGCTTTTTTTGTTAAGGTTTAAACTAATTCACAATCCTGAGAACTAATGCTATTTGTATTCACTAGACACTACTAGTCTACTATTGCTAATCTATGGAGTTTTTTTCTTAACATAGATTATGGAAATTTTAATGTAACAATAAAATACTCAGAGTCTATATAAATGTGCAGTAGCTTCTAGAACCCTAGAGGAAATACTGTCCTTGCTGAGATATGCTTATTGGCAAAATAAAGCCATTAATATTCTGGAACAGTCAATGCCTTAAATGTTGATAAAAAGTATTGGCTAACTATGTGTTACTAGTAATGCTCAACATAGTGCTCAGTGATTTGATGATAAATGTCCTCAGATACCAATTAATCTACAATGTGTCTCTCCCCCATCTCTGAAATAATCATTTTCCTACTCTTAAAAAATGACTTTTCCAATGCAATTGACATTGTTTGTACATGTGTCTCTAATCTCTATATATCTGATTATTACTAGTGACAGTCGGTTACTTTCTGAGCTCCTTGGCATCTGAAGCCATTTTGACCAATGGGGAACACTCATTGACAGAGTGGCCATGCAAGATCCAAACACCAAGCTTTCCAGGGGCTTTGGGTTTGTCATGTATGCCACCATGGAGGAGGTAGATGCAGCTATAAATGCAAGGCCACACAAAGTGGATGGAAGAGTTGTGGAACCAAAGAGGGAGCATCATGAGGAGAGTCTCAAAGACCAAGTGCCCACTTAACTGTGAAAAAGATCTTTGTCGGTGGAATTAAAGAAGACACTGAAGAACATCACCTACGAGATTATTTTGAACAGTACGGGAAAACTGAAGTGATTGAAATCATGACTGACGGGGCAGGGGAAAAAAGCGGGGCTTTGCTTCTGTCACCTTTGATGACCATGATTCTGCGGATAAGATTGTCATTCAGAAATATCAGACTGTGAATGGTCACAATTGTGAAGTAAGAAAACGGCCGGCGGCCGGGCGTGGTGGTGCACATCTTTAATCCCAGCACTCGGGAGGCAGAGGCAGGCAGATCTCTGTATAATGAGTTCCAGGACAGATGGGGCTACAGGGAGACCCTGTCTCAAAAAGACCAAAAAACAAAAAACAAACCCCAAAAATGACTTTTCGGACATCCCTTTCTCCTTCTAGCCCTGGGCACAAGCTGGCTTCTTTTCTTGGCACCCCAGACCTCTGGACTACCCTCTTGGCCCAGATCCCCCCCACTGCTTCCTGGTCCTTTGTACCCAGACCAACCCAATTCTTCAGTCTACTTCCCTAGAGACCTCGCATCCTGCCTCCACCACCAACATTGCCTTTGTATACCTGGTATATCTAAGTATTATAGGCATACAAGAAGGAGAAGAAACTCAAACCAATGGCACTGAACAGATCTTCAATAGGATTATAGAAGAAAACTTCCCTACATTAAGGAATAATAAACCTATAGAGATTCAAGAAGCACAGAGAACACCATTAAGACATGATCAGAGCAGAAAGTCCCATGACATATCATAGTAAAAACATTGAACGAATAGAACAAAGAGAGGGTACTGAAAACTGCTAGAGAAAAACAAGTTACATACAAAGGAACCCATCAGAATTATAGTTGCTTTTTCAATGCAAACTATGAAAGCCAGAAGAGCATGGAACAAAGTATTCCCAGTTCTAAACAACCATGGATGCCAACCCAAAATACTTTATCCAGCAAAACTATCTATCAAGGTCGAAGGGGAAGAGAAAATTTTCCATGACACAAATAGGCTGAAAGAATTCTTCCAAACCAGCCCTAGAGAGACTACTTGAAGCAGTACAAAGGATAGAAGAAAGAAAAGAGTATGCCCAAGAGGTTACAGAAAGAAAATAAAGGTATAACAACAGAAACACAAAATAGGGCCACAAACACAAAAATTAAAATGACAGTATACAATACACACCTTTCAAAAATAACACTAAATATCAATGGGCTCAACTCCCCTGTCAAAAGACACAGGCTGGTACAATGGATCAAGAAAGAAAATCCATCTTTTTTGTTGCCTTCAAGAAACTCATCTCACCTTCAAGGATAGATACCATCTTAGGGTGAAAGGATGGAAAAAATATTCCAAGCAAATGGCTCTAAGAAGCAAGCAAGTGTTGCAATTTTAATATCTGACAAACAGACTTCAATTTAAAACTCATCAGAAGAGATAAGGAGGGTTACTTCATTCTAATCAAAGGAACAGTTGACCAAGAAGATATTACAATCATGAATATCAAACTCTGGAGAACCCAATTTCATAAAATCAGCAGTCCAGGACTATGAAACACACATTGACACCAACTCAGTGATAGTGGGTGACTTTAATACACCACTGTCTTCAATAGACAGGTCAATTGGACAAAGAATAGAGAGACGTCTGAATTAAATGACATACTACATGAAATGGAGCTAACATATATAGACTATTCCACCCAATCACCAAAGAAGATACTTTCTACTCAGCAGCTCATGCAAGTTATTCTAAAATTGACCACATTCTGGCAAACAAAATAAATCTCAACAAATGCAAAGATACTGAAATATTTCCATGCCTTCTATCAGACCACAGTGCAATAAAGCTTATAATCAACAGCAAAGAAGCCCTAGTAAATACACAAACTCATGGAGATTAAACAACGTACTCCTGAATCATGACTAGGTCAAGGAAAAAAATTAAGAAAGAAATAAAAGTATTCCTGGGACAAAATGAGAACATAATACAAAAAATCTCTGGGACACTCTAAAAGCAGTAATAAGAGGGAAGCTTATAGTTCTTAGTGCCTACATTAAAAAATCAAAAAGAGCACATGTAAATGATTTAACAGTACAACCCAAGACTCTGGAAAGACAAGAACAAACCAACCCCAAACCCGGTAGACAAGAAGAAATAACAAAACTCGGAGCAGAAAGTAATGATATAGAAACAAAGACAACAATAGAAAAAAAAAAATCAATGAATCTAAGAACTGGTTCTTTGAAAGGTTAAACAAAATAGACAGACCCTTAGCCCAGTTAACCACATGAAAGAAAGAAAGCAAATCCAAATCAACAAAATCAGAGACAAAAGGGGAAACATCACAACAGACACAAAAAAAAAAAAAAAAAATCCAAAACACTGTAAGGGAATACTTTAAAGATCTATACTCAATTAAATTTGAAAACCTAGAAGAAATAGATGAAGTTCTAAAATCATGGCCACCACCAAAGTTAAACCAAGAGGAGATCAACAGCTGAAACAGACCCATAATAAATAAGGAAATTGAAACAGTAATACAAAACCTCCTGACTAAAAAGGCCCAGGCCCAGATGGTTTCACAGCAGAATTCTACCAGACAGTCAAAGAAAATCTATAACCAATACTGCTTAAATTATTCAAAAAGATAGAAACAGAGGGAGAACTCCCAAACTTCTTTTATGAAGCCAGTATCACTCTAATAACAAAACCAGGTAAAGATACAACAAAAAAAGAAAACTATAGACCTATATCCTTAATGAACATAGATGCAAAGATACTCAATAGAATACTTGCAAACCGCATACAGATACACATCAAAAAGATCATCCACCACGATCAAGTCAGCTTTATTCCAGAGATGCAGGGATGGTTCAACATATGTAAGTCAATGAATGTAATAGAACATATAAATGGAATTAAAGACAAAAATGTCATGGTCTTCTCAATAGATGCAGAAAAGGCATTTGACAAAATCCAGCATGCATTCATGTTAAAAGTTCTAGAAGGAATTAGTCTGGAAGGAACATAACGCAACATAATTAAAGCTATATACTATAAACCCATAGCCAACACCATCCTAAATGGAGAAAAACTGGAAACATTCCCATTAAAATCAGGAACCAGACAGGGCGGTCCAGTATCTCCACTCCTTTTCAATATAGTGCTTGAAACTCTTGCAAGAGCAGTAAGACAAGAGAAGGAAATTAAAGGAGTAATGATTGGAAAAGAAGAGGTCAAATTACCCCTATTTGCAGATGATACATTATATATAAGAGATCCCAAAAATTCCATTAGAAAACTGTTATGATTGACTGATACTTTCAGTAAAGTGGAAAGATACAAAATCAACTTACAAAAATCAATAGCCTTTCTATATACCAATAACAATCAATCAGAAAAGGTACTTGAGGAAACTCTCCCATTCTCAATAGCCTTAAAAGAAATAAAATACTTAAGAATAAACCTAACCAAAGACATTAAAGAATCTCTACAATGAAAATTTCAAAACTCTAAAGAGAGAGAGAGAAAGAGGAAGACACTAGGAGATGGAAAGACCTACATGCTCCTGGATTGGTAGAATGAATATTGTGAAAATGACCATCTTACCAAAAACAATTTATACATTCAATGCAATCCCAATCAAAATACCCATGACATTCTTCACAGAGCTTGACAAAATCATCCTAAAATTCATATGGAATCACAAAAGACCCCGGATAGCCAAAACAATCTTAAGCAAAAAGTACAATGCTGGGAGATCACCATACCAGATCTCAGATTATATTACAGAGCTATTATCATAAAAATAGCATGGTACTGGCAAAAAATAGACATGTAGATCAATGGAACACAATAGAAGACCCAAACATGAGTTCATATAATTTCAGCCACCTGATATTTGACAAAGGTGTTAAGAACACACAATGGAGGAAAGATAACATCTTCAACAAATAATGCTGGCAAAACTGGATCTCCACCTACAGAAAAATGAAACTTGATCCTTATATTTCACCCTGCACAAAAGTCAACTCCAAATGGATCAAAGACAGCAATATAAAACCTGAAACTCAGAAACTGCTAGAAGAAAACATAGGCAGCACCCTCCAAGATATAGGCATAGGAAAAGGCTTTCTAAATCAGATACCAGCTGCTCAGGTGCTAAGGTCAACAATAAGCAAGTGGGACCTCATCATATTACAAAGTTCCTGTACAC